TAAAAGAAATATCCCATTTTGGTAATTCAGTCATATTGTCCTTAGAATAGTCCATGAGGATGCCAAGAATATTCCATGAGTGCGTGTATGTCCAAAGGTAATCCATGCACGTCTCTGGGATAATCCATGTGTGTCATAAGAGTAGGCCATGAGTGACATTGTCCATAGGCAAAAGTTCCTTTTACAAGAGTAACTGCCAAATCCTTATCTCCCTCTTCTCACGATGTCATCCAATCACTGCACATTATTAGACAAACAGTCCTGCTGTACCATCTGACTTCCTTCCCATGGGTAACAGATGTTATTTGGGTTTTCAGTGGTTTCGCTATGAGTCACAACAAAACCCATCTATCTTATCATAGAATGTCCTTCTCACACTCTCAGAAAAGCATTCTCCCAACTCTCACTAGTAACACTCTGCCAGCATTGCAAAAATCATTTAAGCAGAAAAACAAGATGGAATCCCTCTTGCATTATTTACCTACTACCTAGCCATCTACATACATACATACATAAGCCATCTTCAGTACATGATCTTAACCATATATCTCATCTCATCACAGGAATGTGTATTTTTGACATATACTGCAACTTCACGTCCCTTTTTATTCTCTCTGTTCTTTTTGATCAGTTTATATCCCTTGATTGCTGAAAACAAGATGGAATCCCTCTTGCATTATTTACGTAGTACCTAGCCATCTACATACATACATACATAAGCCATCTTCAGTACATGATCTTAACCATATATCTCATCTCATCACAGGAATGTGTATTTTTGACATATACTGCAACTTCACATCCCTTTTTATTCTCTCTGTTCTTTTTGATCAGTTTATATCCCTTGATTGCTGTATTCCAGTCATGGGAGGCATCCCACCAAGTTTCAGTTATTCCTATCAAGTCATACTTACCCCCCTGAATTAAAAGTTCCAGTTCTTCTTGTTTGTTTCCCATACTCCTGGCATTCATATGCAGACACTGGAGGTTGTGTGATTTGTGGCGTGTTTGTCTTTGTACATTTTCATGAATATTACTATGATTATTGTTACGATTATTATTGTGATTATTATTGTTAATATTATTATACTTGCTGTGCTGTGCCGGGAGTCAGGAATCAAAAATATGAAGACTCTGTTTCTTGACATGAAGCTGATATGAAGACTCCGTTTCTTGATATGAAGTTGATAGTAGTTGGTTTTCCCTTCTCTCTGCCCTCATCACATTCATAATTGATTTTAATGAAATGACCCTGGGCCTGGATTGCGATTTGGCATGGTGTCAGAGGTGTTCAGAATGGGGTTCCTCTGATGACATGCTAAATCATGATTGGAGCCCAGAGAAGAATTTTTGACCTACTGCTTCCTTTATGAACAGTGTGGAAGCTAGAATTTGTCGCAGTGGTGGAGAAGTGTGCTGGAGAAAGTAAAGGCTGCCATGGACAAAATAATCATGAGTTTACATGACTTACTCAGGATTTATTTTTCAGATCTGTGTATAAGATAAGAAATGAAATAACATTAGGTGTTAGCTTTCAACTTTTTTAAGTTGCACCCATACAAAAGGGCTCTAAAGCAAGATCAGAGATGGGTGTCATCATGTGTAGGAAAACAAATGGGAGTTAATATTTTTCATGTGGTGAACTGCAGCTACAGTACAAGAATTTTCTTAGCTTTATTTGATATTAAAGAACAGATATACTGCTTTGCCCTGGAGAAAATACTCTGGTTGTTCAACATTCTGTATTGTCACTGGAGCCCAGCTAATTTAAATATCTCTATTGCTCTTGGAGAACTAGTTTTCTGTCTCTGCTCAACTGTGAGGGCTTTTGTTTTTGATTCTGTATTTTTCTTCAGGCATTCAGAAGGACAAAGATAAACCTCCAAGCTTCACTCTTGTCCTTGAGACTTTGAGGCATACCTTGACAGATTACCAGAACAAGCTGGAAGATGCATCTAATGAGGTAACACTTGCACTGTTTGGCTCCACACACATAGCCTTCGGCCCCCAATAGTCAAGATTCCTTGCTTGTTACAGAGGTCAAAATGCTGGGAATGTTGAGTTGACAGCTTCACAAATAAGAAAAAGAAATAATCTTTTGTCACTCTTCTTCCTCTAAGCTTGCCCTATGGTCATGATTCACTTAAACTTGGGAAACTGTTTAGATGTGTTCTTTTTTTCTCATTGAACTGTTGTGCTGCCCAATTATTTTTAGGGAATTTACATGTATATCTGGTGGTTTTAATCTATTACTTTTTTAATGCATTAGTGTAAAGATAGAATACAAAATATACTAAGATAACCTAAAGATTCGTAATCAAATCTAGTATGTATTGATAGTGGATGAATAAATGTGCATGCTTTTGCATTGGGAAAAATGTACAAGATGTTGACATTTTATTGTATATAAGTTGTCTGATTTTAATAGGTTAAAATTCTACTATATTAAACATTGCCAAAACAGAACTATTTTAAGCTGGGTGTTTTTAAACATTTTGTGATAATCACAATTCCCTTTATTTTTAGTTCAGTGCTTACCAATTTGGAACAATTTAGGTTGCAATCCTATAGTCATACATCTTGCAGGAAGCCCCACAGGATTTACTACTTCAATTTAGCTGAGGTGTGGATTGACCTGCAAAGTATCCTGGTTATTATGCTTGTTAGTAAACATGAATCTTTGTGGGTTTTTTTGTAATGATCATCATCCCCGGGCTTAAAATATTTTTAGTTCAGGATGTTGTACTCGTTAGAATTTTTGAAAGATCATTGTTTTTGGACAAAAAAAAGCCTAAGGCAGTAGCAAAACATGATGATTTTTATTCAAAAACGTTTTTTAAAATACTTCACTGAAACAAATATGTGATGAATTATAATATCAAAACCAGCAGTTATTGTTTGAAGAAGCTAAGTACTCTGCACTGTCTGAGGCTGCTCCAGAGGCACCAAAAAGTTGTTGTGGAAACAATTATATGCATCTGTGTACAGCCACCACTGCTAGGTCTCTTCTGTTGACAACCTACATGCTTGGTAGCCTTTGGAGGCCCAGGGCAGGGTGACAACTAGGCACACAATACCGGCTGTGAACTGTTATTTGGGAGGATGAATGTCACCTGATCTTCTGCACAACTCAAAAGTCCACTCAGCAGGCTTTGGCTGAGGAAAATGTTTTGTAGTGAAATGATGCCAGAGACAGCAGTGGGGAGACCAAGGGGGTGGCTGTTAAGAAAGCAGAAAGAGTGTTCTGTCAGCAAGAAGAATGAACTGCCAAGGAAAATAAATCGCAAGCAGTGCAGGACCAACTGATGACCTGCCACAAGACTTCCCAGTAGGACTGCATGTGCCTGACCCTGAAGTTGTCATACGGAGCCAGAGACTACTGAGTACTTTCCTGATATGCAGATGGGGTAGCTCAGTGCCCTTCTTTCTTTTTCTTGTTGATAGCAGTGTGATCTTCTATTTCTCCTTTCCCCCTTCAGTGTAATTAGTAACTAAACTTTTTTGCTATATTAAGAAAACAAAGAACGGTTGACGCCAATTTATTTTAAGAATTAGCCCCTTATAGGCTACACGCTTGCTCTGGGCTTCTACAAGCATTACAGAGTTTCATAAAACTGTATGCAGGTCAATATAGTTTCTGCCTAGTAACAATTTGGATGCTTGAATTTATGACTATTTACCTTATCTTTAGCATAAAACTGGCAATGAATGTTCTGTTCAATGTAGCTTGCTCTAAGGAAAGTTAGGATCGCATGGTCTGTAAGTAATTATGTTGTAATTACATTGCTCCTGAGTCTGATATGTTGTTTATTGTTGTTTTCCTTTTGGTTAGCTAAAGAAAATGAAAATTCTCTCTGAGAAAATGGCAAAAGAGCTCGAGTCTTCCCAACACCAACTGAGATCCCAAAATCAAGAACTTAAGGTACCTATATTTTTACAGAACTAACATTTTCATCCATATGTGATGGTAATTCTGACTATTTGTACTTGGGTATCCCATTTGCATCAGTAAGTTGGTATATGCCAGCGATGGCAAACCTTTGCACATGTGCCACAGCTGGCATGCAAAGCCCTCTCTGTGGGCACACGAGCCATAAGTCGCCATCGAGAAATACTTACTCATCCTCCGGCCTTTACAACAGTTGCATCGGTAAAATCTTGGGAAGGGAAAATGAGCCAAGATGGCAATGGCCACCGCCACCACAAACACACACATATCCGGACACCAGGCATGGAAACACCCATCTCCTGCCACCTGCACCTTTAAGGATTGCAGATGGAGGTGCAGCAGGGAGTGTCCCGGGCAGGCACTGGCGGTTGTGCAGCTGGAGGAGTGGAAACTCTTTGGGACAGTCGTGGCAGCGGCAATGGCTTTTGCGTGGGCCTGCAGGAGGAAGCGAAAGCACATGTCGAAGGTGCAGCCAGCATGGACTGGGGCACAGAGCTGTGGGTAAGTGAGCATGGATGCCTTTTCCCAGGGCCCGGCATGTGGGATGCCTCGGATTTCTTGCCCGCACTGTCCTCGCTCCTTCTTGGCCCTCCCTGACCCAGCCTTTGACCACAGTTCTTCTACATCCAGCCACTGCCTCTGTCCCGCCACGCACGGCGAGGCATCTTCTTCTGTAATGCCCAGACTTAGCCGGGGTGCAAACATTTGGGTCCTCCAGCCGCTTCCCCAGGCACAAATAGGTTTTTCTATTTGGTTGGTTTTGTGTTGCAGTTTGGGCACTCAGGCTCAAAAAGGTTCACCATCACTGGTATATGCCATCCAGCCACTTCAGAAATGGTGAGCCAATGAATTAATTTGCTTCAAAAGGTCTTGTTATTAACGGCCCTGCTCAAGTCTCAATAGGTTTACTCAAAAATAGTTTAATCTATGGCTGTGTGAGAAAGTGTCTAAGCAGAGTGCCATCTTGCTAGTTTCAAGGCCAGGAAGGTGGGGGGAAAGAAACTCTAGTGGACAGACAACACAACACTGTATAAAAGAGCCAATATGTGCTATCTTCCCTTCAGTTTGGAAGCAGTGAATTTATGGTATCATAATTTGGTGTGTGTGTGTGTGTGTGTGTAATAAGGGTGAAATTAAAGTAGCATGAGTGAAAGAATGCATTGTGTTAGTACAGAGAGTAACATTTTCTATTTACTTTTAAACTTACCTTTAAAAGACAATTTTAGGCATCTGAGAGGATTTTTCAGGAAACAAGGCTCTACCTGAAATCCAGTTGGCATAATTACACCTGCAGAAGGGTGATGATATCATCAAAGGGGGCCTTTTTGTTATTACAAACTCATAACTTTTCCTACTCCTTTTATTGCATAGAAGCTTTGGGAACCATGGGATGGAAAGAGGAAGTCATTCATTAACAAAAATTACTGCTGAGGGGGAGATTTTCAGACCAACACCATAAAGAGTAATGGGAGTGAATTACCAGTTCTGCCTCAGCTTCAGAATACAGTAACAAGCTTGTAATGGTTGACTTTCTATTGATCCTATTTAGGTGTTTCACAACCTTGAATGTTGTTTCTTGGTAAAATTATTGTTTCTACATTTCTTATTTAATCTTCTCACCTACCATCCATGCCAGATCATGTGGCTTTTTAAAAAACCATTCTTTCTCAGGAGTGGCTTTGGGAGTCAGTTAGTTTGTTTCCTGTGTCTAAACAGTGGATATGTGCGTTGTACCTATAACCGTTATTTTTATAATTTAGAAGGAAGATTGAATGTCTTTTCATTTAGATGAGCCATAGTTAAAGGTAAAGGTTCCCCTTGACAATTTTTGTCCAGTCATGTTTGCCTCTAGGGGGTGGTGCTCATCCCCGTTTCCAAGCCATAGAGCCAGCGTTTTGTCCGAAGATAATCTTCCGTGGTCACATGGCCAGTGCAACTTAGACACGGAACACTGTTACCTTCCCACCGAGGTGGTCCCTATTGATCTACTTGCATTTGCATGCTTTCGAACCGCTAGGTTGGCAGGAGCTGGGACAAGCGATGGGCGCTCACTCCGTCACGTGGATTCGATCTTACGACTGCTGGTCTTCTGACCCTGCAGCACAGGCTTCTGCGGTTTAGCCCGCAGTGCCACCACGTCCCCCTGATGAGCCATAGGTATCCCGTTTATTCCTAAAGGAGGATCATATTTACACCCCACACCATATATAGTTTGGCATTAATGTTTTTGTCTTCTAAACTGTGCAGTTTTGATGGTAGTAATAGTAATGATTTTGACATTTTTACACTTATTTATTGAATTCCTTCCATTCAGCTGTTTTAAAGCTATTGGTTGTCTAGAATCCCTGACCTATTTTCAAATTCTGTGAGATTTTTTTAGAGATAAAATTTCCCAGTTTTTAGAGGACTAATACTTTTGCATTTTGTCAAAAGAGTTATGTTTTCTAAAAACACTAGCTGTGTAAAGTTTTCAGGTGATAGCAAGGGAAGAACAATTTCATAGAAACCACTCCTTTACTATTATCTAAATCAAATGACAAGTTCAGTAATTTGTCATAGTTGTTTCTCATTGACGTAAATGGTTTCCCTTAAAAGGCTATTTAAAAATGCATATTTGGACACTTTATTTCCCAGAGGCAGAAGATACTGTGGGAGTGCTTGTTACTGTTACTACTACTACTACTACTACTACTACTACTACTATTATTATTGGTCACTTTTAGGAAGCACAGAATAAACTTGGTGATGCCAACAAAGAGTTAAACCATCTGCAGGCTAAGTGTGCAGATCAAGAATCTTTAATACCAACCTTAAAAATGGAGCTACAGGATGTACTGCACTGCTGGGAGAAAGAGAAAGGACGTTCAAAAGAATCTGAAAATGACATCCAGAAGCTTACACAGGCTTATGAGAAGGATACAGAGGTATTACCAGAAATAAGATGGCTGTCAAAAAGAATCCTTAATCTTAGCTTTTTACATTTGCATACATCAGATGTTTGTAGACACAGCTTTAGCCTTCCCTCCCATGAAATTAAGGGACGAGCTCAACACCTGTATGTAATTCTGTTGGCAAAGCCTTTTAATTTGATTTCTATCTTTAATATTTCTTTAAAAGCAAATTGAATAGTTGAATCCATTTTGCTTAAAAAAAAGTATTGAGCTCTTGAAAAGAGAGAAGGGATGTAAGTGTTTAAAGAAACATAGCCAGGGATCTCTTTTCCTACTGCTTAGCTGAATGTAAATACACACATTTGCAATATATGGAATAGGTTAGCTTTCTCCTCCCTTGGCACCAATTCCCTTTAGCTGTTTTAAATGACAACAAAACATGTAATGGACATGTAGCAGTGAGTCATTTTACCTGCCCACCAAGAAAGTAAAATTAGTTTTCTGTTCCTTGGAGTAACAGCTGATTTTGGTTTGTTGTGTACAATAATTATTTCATGAAGTGTGATTTTGTAGCATGCATTCCACCATGATGTTTATTCTGTTTCTAAAACACATAGTCTGCCAACATTTTGGGTTTGGGTTTGGGTTTTGTTTTGGTTTGGTTTTTTTGCATAGAAAGTTTTTTGGCACTAGGTACATCAACGGAGTTATTCTTTATCTAAATTTTGCAGCATATTGAGCTCATTACTGTAACAAATATGAGCAAGGATGCCAAGTGAATAAAAAGGAAACATTCTTTCCACCCTTCTTATAGTCTGGGATTTAAATTGTGTCCATATGAATCTGTTGGAATTGTTCTGCTCATCAGATAGTGATTAAAGTAGAGGAAACTAGAAGCCTGACTATACTGTAAAGTCAGCATGTCTACAGTATTGTGGTTAGGTTCAACATGTGTGAATTGATTCTGGTTCCTTGAATTCCTTTTCCAGGCCAAATAGATGATTACCATGCTTGGTTTATCACAGTCCAAGCAAAAAGGACACAATGGCGACAGATTAAATTAACAAGGAGAAGCCCAAGATTGGGTGGAAATGCTTTTGTTAATATTTCACTGTGTGTTGTTGGTGGTTTCCCATGAGAGATTTGAACACCAAAATATGGTTGGAAAAAATCACAATAGTAATATGTTCTTAATGCCTTTATAAAGTCTGCTTGGAAATGTTTTGAGCTGGATTGCATTTAAAACATAGTAAAAATACTGGAAATCTTTTCATTGAATATAGTGGGTTTTGGATGAAGACCTTAGTTTCTGGTTTAGCATTTGCAGGAATGTTCTTAAGCCTTTTATTTTACCAGATGATGCAAGATAGGATTCTTTTCTCTGAATCAGTCAAAGTACAGAAGGATTATTAGATATTCCATATCAGCCCTATATCTGATTAATAAATCATTAAAGCTTTATGTTTTCAGAAATATATTTGTACTGTGATCTATGTAGTTGTATGTAAATATATATGTGCATTGAGATAGTAGCATTACTATCTATCTAAATTTAATTATCCAAAACAAAAAAAAAATATTTCATGGAAGTGTTAACTTTGGCCAGACAAGAATTGCAGTTATTGTGCAGCAACCAACAAAAATATCAGGGATGTATTTTACTCCTTGTTTTGTTCCATTTCCATACATTTATAGATTTTTGCCTTGTGCCACGGTGTCACCATGTTCTGTGTCTCCCTACTCCTACTCCAAATCATTGGTTGAAATCCTATTGCTTAATGTAGTAAGTTGCACTAGAGTAGTCTCATTGAATCTATGAGGATTTTGTAGATCACATCCTTCATAAATCCCACTGATTCAAATGGGCCTACTTTAGTTGTGACTTACTTCAGTGTAGTAAGTTGCAACTACAGTGGGCCAATTTGAATCAGTATGGAGGACATGACTCAAAAAATCCTCACGGATATTCTACTGCAACTTATGCTAAGCAATTTCAGCCATTGATAACACAATTATCAGATATTATAAAACAGGTACATTCTGTGAAAGTTACATACAGGGTAATGGTGGTGGAACTAAATATGCAATTGCTGTTTTAGAAATGGCCCTGCATTTGGTGTAACATATAATTTGTCACTTATTCAAAACATTTGTGTAGCCTTTTTCTTGTTTCTTAGAAAACTGCAGTTATTGTTCTATTAAGATAGATTATTGTGGTGGCAATGCACAATAATATAAGGTCTGATTCTACAGATAATTAATTAGTTGCATTCTGACTACTGCAAAAGTGGGAAAATTCCTTCCTTGCTTACAGAAAGTGGCTGCAGGATCAGCCCTTGTGTATCTGATGGGTGATCATCTATTTTCTGATTGTCAGTAATGATTTGAACGTAGATTGTATATTTCTTTGGAACACATGTACATTATTGTTTACATGACAGATTTCACTGGACTTGTAGCACTATTTGCAGTTAACTCTTTTTTTTCTGTTTTTCCTTTAAAAATAAATTCCGCATTGCAGGAGAAGCTAACTTTCCTCCATACTTTATACCAGCACTTGGTAGCTGGCTGTGTTCTTATAAAACAACCAGAAGGCATCCTGGATAAATTCTCTTGGCCAGAGCTTTGCACAGTCTTGCAGGAGAATGTTGATGCCCTGATCTTAGACCTCAGCAAGGCTAATGAGAAGGTAACTGTCCTCAGGCACCAGCCGCCTCTATTAAATTCAGTGACATTTGTCCACATCACTGTATTGCTAAAAAGGACTGACATTCATCTTATTTCAAAAAGAATTTGGATGTTAATAATTCAATACCGTTAATTACGGCTTGTCTACAGCTCGGTTTGATGCCATTGCTGTGGGCATGTAAATGTGACTGAAGTCTGTATGAAGTCTCTAAGCTCCAGTTTCTGTGCAGGACTTGCTAATACTACTAGCCAGTGTTAGCCACAGGGACCTAATTAAAAGAAAATAAATTAATCTTACTGATGAAGCTATTCAAAGAACTTAGTCATTTACACTAATAAACCAACTCTTTATCTCAACATAAAGCAGAAACAAAATGCACTTACTCAGGGAACATCGTCTTTAAAATACTTGCTTATGAATATCAGGAATTATTTGAAGTGAGAGAAATATGTTTCCAAGAAACAGCAGTTGCCCTTTGATATATTTACATTTGTAAATACAATACAGAATGTATGTGATTTAACACACGACAGATTTAAAAAGATAAGAGAAGCTCAACATGAAGTGTGTTGAATATATTGTGTAGTTAGCTCAAGTTACCTCAAAAAATCACTATCTGGAAAAGTATTTTGTTACAAGAAAATAATTCTCCTGCCTTAATTTCAGTGCTTCAACAGATCTCAATTCCTGGCTCATTATCTGAAGTTGCACCAAGTTGCATGGTCTAGTAGCAAGGTTTTAGTCCCATTCATTCATGTATACCGCTCAACAATGGGAAAAAGAAGATGCTTCATGTTAGGTGTAGGTGTTCTTTATTTCAAGTTCAGGATCAGGACTGCTAGCTTACATCTAATACCCCAAGAATCAAGCTAAAACTCTAAAAGATATTTATTTTGAAATGCAAATAAATGAATTCAGAAATTCTAATACAAATTGGTTGTGAGCAAAATCTTTTTACATAAATGCTAGATTGAACTTTGGGGCAAATGACAAGGAAGAGCAAGCGTGGAAAGACGGTAGCTAGGTGGCAGAGCAAATCTTTGCATATGGAAGGTTACAGGGTGGTGGTGGCTGTAGCTTGTGGTGGGTCTTGCAGGGGAATTGTGCAATCTAATTTTCAGTCTGGACAGATTACTGAGGTACGTACAGATAAGATCAACAGGGTAAATAATATTAAAAGCATCAAGGCAGAATGAAATCAAGAGCCAACATTCCTTTCATGAGCAAAATGCAAGTTTTAAAAACTGTGAAGTCTGATCAGTGTACTTGAACTGAAAAAACTACTGTGTCTTTTGCACAGTGATGGGAAGTTGATTGCAAAGATTACAGTCACCCATTAAAACAAACTTGGGCAGATAGACAGCCCCTTGAAACCATTTTTAAGACCTCTTGATGCCCCCACACCACCCTCATTCCCCCTTGGGTTGAATGTACACCTTTAAGTGTGTAAGGAAAAGAAAGTAGACATTTTCTGTTCCTGGAACCCAATGGGAGCAGTGTTTAGTTACTGTTTGTACCAAATGGTGTGTTGGGCCCCAAATGCCCATTAAAGAAAGTATGAACTAGACATCTAGAAACTAGAGGGCACTTTTAAAAAAACTTAGGTTTGTGACCATTAGGATGGAAAATTGGCCATGAGACTGCTTTCATTTCCTGTTCAAAGTGCACTTGGACATTTATCTGCTCTTCCCCATGAAGAGTTGTGTTACAATTGTGTTTTGTTTCAAAACAAATCTAAACCTCCTTTTGCATAAGAGATTTAGAGACAGAAAACTATCAATATCTACTGGCAGATATTCTCAATTAGTTGCTGTTGTTATAATAAGCATTGTTATCTTTTTGTTATAAGTTATCAAGTCACTTCTTACCTACAATAACCTTATGAATATGGTACCTCCATAATACCCTACTAATGTCTTGCAAATTAAAGACTGTGACGGCCTTCATTGACTCAGTCCAGCTTATACTTGGTTGTTGTCTTTGCTGACCACCTTCAGTGTTTCTTAGCATTTTTGGTTTTTTAGTAAACTTTGTCTTTTCATGATGTGATCAAAGGACAATAGCCTCTAGTAATTTTAGCTTCCAGCAAGAATAAAGATAAAAGATAATACAAAGTTTTGGGCTTCATTTTCTGGATTTTGCCTTTTAAAACTTTGGACATCACAATTTTGATGTATTTTCTAAACATTATGGGTAAGTCCTTTTAGCGAAACCACCAAACTACAGTCATAATCTGATTTGGATATTAGATTTTAAAAAATGTCTGCACTGTAAAGCTCTGTTAAATTTTTCTTATGTCCAACACATCAGCGTCAACTATGGCAAATATGCAATGCTCTTTGTAACATCTGTTTTTCATGTGAACACTTCAACCAGGCAATTTAGCACAACAGCCATTTCACTTAGTGTGTTACTTTATAAGGCATTTTGTTGGTCTTGCTACACAATGCCCAACTTAATATTATTGAGGAAGAGTAAATGTTGGGACATTCCCCTCTATAAATTGTGCCTCAGCCATTAATTCGCTGGTTAGCCTTAGGCTAGTCATTACTTCTCAATCTTGGTTGTATGTTTGCAATATGTGGATAACGATATTGATCTGTGTTTAAGAGGATATTTAGCTCCTGTGTGTGAAATTCTTTGAATGTTTGACATTATTTTTGTCCTGTCCAAAATTATTCTGTCTTAGGTGAAGTGAAATAGCTGCAATAGTAAACTACTAGGATTTTGGAGGCGGGAACATTAAATACCGTATTTTTTGCACCATAAGACGCACTTTCTCTCCCAGAAAAACTGGTGGGAAACGTGCGTGCGTCTTATGGAGCGAATACTGTCCCCTCCATGCCACCATCGCTGGCTCCACAGGCCTCCGGAGGCCTCAGCAGGCCCCGCGGGGGCCTCCCCCAGCGACCATCGCTGGCTCCACAGGCCTCCGGAGGCCTCAGCAGGCCCCCTATGTTGCTTTGTGTTTTGGTGATTTTTTTGCAGTCCCAGCATGGGACTTGCTCTGTTTATTTATTTTTACTTCATTTTTTGGTATTTAATTTTTAAATATTAAATAAATTAAATAATTTTAATTTTTACTTTTTAAAAAATGTTCTGGGTGGGTTTTGGAGGGTAGATTTGGGATGGGATGCATGTTTCTATGTTGCTTTGTTTTTTGGTGATTTTTTTTGGCAGTCCCAGTGTGGGACTTGCTCTGTTTATATATTTTTATTTTATTTTAATTTTCAGTATTTAAAAATTAAGTGCGTCTTAACGTCCGGTGCGTCTTATGGAGCGAAAAATACGGTAATTCCATTCAAACAGTTTTCGGAAGTAAACATTAATGAAATGCTATAGTATGCTATGGCCTCTTACTGAGTTCTTGAACCTAAGAGTAATGGCATGCATGTTTACTCAAAAGTAAGCCCTGTTTTGTTTAATGAGGGTCAATCCTAAATCAGTGCCCATAGAGTTGCAGTCTTATTGTCCTAAAGAATCATTTCTGTAATCAGGTCTGCTTGAAAGCTTTGTGCATCACTTTGTTTTATACAGTACGTATCCTAAAGCAGGTGCTAGTTGATCCATTATCTGAATCCTTTCACTGTATTGTAGAAAGAAAGGTGGAATCAATAGAAGTAGGATGTTAACTAGAGTCTGATGAGCTTACCATCATAGTTGTTGTTTCACCTGTTGTTTCTTTCACCATTGTAGGATCCCAAATGTAGAAGTGACCATGAAGTGTAAATAGTATATCTGAATACACATACAGTACTTCTATGTCTTATTCTTTAAAACTCTGGATTGCCAGGTTTTTACTGTAAATAAATAATGCTTGATCTCTCACTGAGTTGTGAAACTAGGGATAGGATTTGGAGCACATTTCCTCTTGGCCTGGTTTAACTTAGGACTGGAAACATGTACATTTCAAAAAAAGTGTTAAATGAGATTTTCTTAATCCTCCTCATGCAGATATCTCACCTTGAATATGTTTGTAAGAACAAGTCGGATACAATGAGGGAGCTTCAACAGACCCAAGAAGATACTTTTAACAAACTAGCCGAACAGATGAAAGTGCAGGAAAGCTGTTGGCTGAAGCAGAAGAGAGAATTGGAACAGCAATATGCTGGACTCCTTGGGGAAGTTCATGCAAGGGCACAGGTACAATATTTCTGCCAGGAAAGTGTAAACTTCTAAATGTATTCTTTAAATATTTAGTATATTATTTCAGTGGTGTGAGTTCCAAACCAATTTTAAATTGCTTGGGAATTTCAGCATGTTTCAAGAAATGATTTTTTTTACTACTAACTTCTGCTTTCTTTAGAAAGGGTATGAATTTGTGTGAAGACCTTCCAGAACTTATATTGTTTAATTGGATCCTACAGTTGTATTTCCCATTTAAGTTACCATGCAAACGTTACCTGCAGAGTAAAAACATTGGCTGCCTTGTATTATTACACTGAGTACCAGATGCTTTCCCTTCATGATGACTATTCGTCCTGCAGCTTTGTAGAATTAAAGTTATTGAAATTCACTTTATGTTGAACTGTGTGTTGGGCATAGGTTCATAGTCAAGTCAGCAGAAGTAATAAAAGGTAGTTAAAACGTAGAGATAATCTCTTTTTCATAGTAGAGGAACCTGGGATCATCTAGTCAAGCTGAGCAGTAGGAAATCTAGGATAGATTAAAAATAAGAAGAGGTACCTCTTCACACAGTCTATATTGCAGTAGCAAAAGTAGTGGGAAAGGTCCTAGAGTCGCTACTAGACATGGGGAAAATATAAAAACAAATTGAGATAGTCAACGAATATCCCTGATTTGTCAGATATTCATTGTTTCGTATTCTTGGGGTCCCGAGACAGCGATGAATATGAAGCATCTTTTTATATTTGTCCCTTCATCTGTCCCTATCTGCTTATGACCCCATGGATCATTTGTTACTCGGGGGAATAAGCAGAGAGAGGTTTTCCCTTTGGTCAGCTTGCTAAAGCCTATGCCTGGTTGGGAATAGGAAGAGGATGGAAGGGGGACCTAAACAATCCCTCACCCCTGCTGTCTTGGATCCCCCCTTCCCTCCTGTTCCTATGCCCAGACAGAGAATAGGAATAGGAGCAAAGCCTGACAGAAGCAATCCCCTATCTGTGCTGTCTTTCCAAATTCAGCAGGGTGGGGGATTCACTTAGGTCCCACTTCTCTTGTCTTTCTATGCTCACTGGGGCACAGAAAGATGGGAGAAGCCTGACTGAAGTGATCCCGAACCCCTGCTATCTGTGCAAAGACACAGGGGGAATAGCCTCCATCAGACTTGCCAAAAGGAAAGCCCTCCTCGCTCCTCCTTGCAAAAGCTAGGCTGCTGGAACTGAAACTGCAGTTCCAGTAGTCTAGCTTCTGTTTCCGCTACCATCCATTCTAGGCAGCTGCGGACCCCCAGCATACTGGACCAGGCCAGATAAAAACGCAAGGCAGGCTGAATGTGGCCCGTGGCCCATAGTTTGGAGACCCCTGCTCAGGAGAAGTCAGAGGTCCAACTCTAGAGGTCCATGTTGTTATTTTATTTTATCTTTCTCCTAAGTTGTAAAGGAGTAGAAGCTAAGGCCTCCCATCTCTACAAGAATTCACCTCCCATCTCTACAAGAATTCATCTGCAAATTTTCTCTCTAGTTTTTAATTTATTTTGTACTTGGTAAAAGATGGATTTCATCCAGTGTAATATAGTGGATAAAGTAATGGAGACCTGTATTCGAAACCCTGCTTACTCATGGAAACTCTCTAAACTGGTAAAAACACTCCTCAAATTTTTTTACTTACCTTGAAAGCCCTACTAGGGTCACCGGAAGTCAGTTCTTCTCTGTTATATATGTTATATATTCCTTATCCTATCTTAGATTGAGAAACCTCTGATCATTTGCTGACTTGATCTCCCCTTCTGAGCTGTATCTGAGACCATGCTGCATTGCTTCTTCCGCTGTCTCACAGCGTAACTATTTCTAGCACATTGTATTCATAAGAATCAAATGATTCTGGTCTAAAGGTAATTTCTAAAAGGAGGACATAGCTCTGATTATCTTTGACCAATTAAAAGGGGAATCTTGCTGCCCAATCTATTTCAAACAGAACCTTCAAAGTGTCTTAAAAATACTGGGAATAAAACAAAATACTCAACGAAAGTCAGTTGCATAATTCTCCTGGGACCATACCATTTTAGAGGGGAAAAAAATTCATTCTTTGTAATGTTCTCACATGTCAAAAGTTTTGATATTTCAAAGGCTTCCAATTTAGCCATTTGTTGACATAACTTATTTTATAGTGAGGATTTGATTGGCGAACCAGTGCATTCAGCTTTCTTACCACAGTTTTAAGGTAGTGCAGTTTTTAAACATTTACTTATGTATTGTTTGCAGTAGATGCAGAAGTATGGATTCTTACAAGAAAAGGTTTGGGGATTAAAAAAAAATTTAATCCAAAACTCTCCATGGAAACTGCACATTTAGAGAATTATTTGTCAAAAAGATGAGCATACAGGCTGTTGCTCTGTTCTACTGCTATAACCCTTTTCTTGCCCGCATTTATTTATTTATTTATTTATTTATTTATTTATTTAACTGCTCATTAACCACAGTTTTCATGGTATGTATAATCTGTTAAAATATGAAGTAGTTCAAGACGCATCAATGAAATGCAATAAAGCAATGGCTGAAGAGGCAGAATACAAGCCACAATAAAGCTGAAATGTTAGCAAAATTCAGTGTACAAAGCTAAACTGAAACGAACAACCCAAAGGTGTGAAAACATTGTAGTACAATTCTTAAAATGCATGCGAGTATAGAAAAACCATAATATGAGAGGCAGGGAAACTGCTGGGAGAACATTCCATAGATAGGCATCATCACTGAAAAAAACCTCTCTCTTTTAGTCATCTGCCACTCATTTGGTGGGATTGCCCCAAGGATAGTTTTGGAAGATGCCTTAGGGTTTGGCCTCAAGCCCATTTCAACCATTTATTCATGTTTCTGTCACCTAGCAACAGTCTCATTTTTGGGTTTTGCTCATATGGCTATCAGGACAATTCTGCTGCTTGAGAGCAGGTTCCCAGCATCTGTTTGGTCCTCCTTAAACCCCAAAGTTCTCTTGCAGATGCACTGTTTAAGAAGGATGCTTTCCACTCGATAAGGCTGTGCAGGCATTCAGTTTTCCTTCACAAAGATTACACATATGAGAGGGAGATGAGGCACAGTTTATCCTTGTACATTGAGCACAAAAGCTTGTGGGGAATGTTGTAAGCATGGCAGCTGAATCCACTTAAAATCCACTGAATCCACTTGGGGAAGTTTAGAAGTATGTTAAGCAGTACCTGTGGCACCCCCCCCCCCAAGGTGTACTCTAAATGCTTACTGAGGGCTGACATTTGGTATCTCTAGTAGGTCAGCATGATTCTAAAACTCCCTCCCACAGGAGGCCAGGCTGGCCCCATCTTTGCTAACTACTGCGAGCAGGTGAAGACCTTTCTCTTCAGGCAGGCTTTCCCTTAATGACTGGCACTCTTGCAAGAGGTTTTAAAATCAGGATAATTAGTATTTTGATGTTTTAATCTGTTCCAATAATGTGTCTGTTTAATATACCATATTTTTCCGTGTATAAGATGATATTTTTATCTAAAATCTTTAGACTAAAAATTGAGGGTCGTCTTATAAACTGAAGTAAGGAGGGAAAGGATCAAAGTGCTGCAGGATCACAGCCCTTTGATCCTGCAGCCCTTTGATCACTGCTTTCCCCCTCCACTTCCTAAGCCTTCTGTAGCTCTTCTGTGTAAGAGTGTATGTCCTCTAATCTAATATCAGGGAGTTCTTTAAATTTCAGTGCCTTAGAATTCCAAGAGAAGACAGATGTATCTATGAAATGTAGGGAGTAGTTTAACAAAGATCATAGTACAGGAGAGTGAATAAGAAAGTGGTAAGAAAAGCTCCACCCTTCAGTTCATATTTTTGCTTGGCTATGAAGTTGTTGAGTGGCCTTGGGGCTCCTCAAGCTCAGGAAGAATAATATTCCTCCTACCTTACAGGGTTGTTGAGATAATGAATGTGATATAATATATTACAGAAATAATATATTGTAAATTAAATGAACGGAGTGCTTAAGATAAAATGCTTTGTAAGTGCTAGGTATTAGAAAACTATGTGATCTTTGATGATATAATCAAGGTATGAGCAATAAAGCAAAAGTTCCCCATAGGCAAATAAATATGATAGTGAAATAGGCCTGTGAAGGGTGAGGATGGACAAAAGGGTTACCATGTAGGAAGGCAGGGAAATTCTTTAGGTCAACAACTGTCATAACTTTTGAAGAATTTCATTGTTTTATTAAGGGACGGAAGCACAGGTGGATTAGTTCAAGTCTGTGGTGTGTTCAGCATTATCAAAGTAAGGGTTGTAAAAGGAGAAAAATAAAATAGTTGAAATAAAGTGAAGTCTTTTGAAGCCCAAGTGTCATTAAGTCTCCAGTTTGCAGTCTTGTCTTCTTGCCAGCATAAAGGATAAAGACCCAGCAAGAAATAAGATAAAATAGAGTTGTACTCTCCAGGGGAGTGACTAATTTTTTAAAGGATTCTTGAAGTCCTCAGAGTGCTGTAACCTAGTAAGCCACCTCTCAAAGCTTTTCCACTCCAGGAAGTCAGGCTGCGAGTCTTTTAAGGCAAGAATCTTGCTGTTCCTTTCAAGAAATTGTACTTTTAGGGTTCTAAGGAGATATTAGAGGCACTGTAGGTTTTGGGAATAAAACAATTACAAACCTGTTTAAGGAAAGAAATCTGCTCCTCTAAGTGTCTGTGACAATGGGAGGAAAATTGCCATTGCTTTTAATAAACATAATAAAAAATAAAATAAGCCTTGCCCCTTTTCCCTTGTTTTAAATAACAGGTAGAAGCTGAGATTTTATGATTGACCTCTAAGAGTTTGTATTTGCTTTCTTCAATTCTGCCCTTTAAATATTTAAGGGTAAAGAATTGTAGAGTGTGTGTGTGTGTGTGTGTGTCTGTCTGTCTGTCTGTCTGTCTGTCTGTCTGTCTGTCTATACATATGAATAATACAGGTTCCAAATACACGTTGTTTTTTGCCTGTAAAAAACCCAGGAGAAACTCCTTCCATAGTTGCTGTTAAACAAGTTTTGTTCTGTAAGAATCAGTTGCAAATAATGCTGCAATTCCAAGTGTCTGTGTGAATATTCAGATTTAATTTGAAGACTTAATTTGAAATGGAATTCTGGGGCAGTGCGTTTCAGGATTATAAGGATTAATTAATGGAATTATCCCTGTGTATTGGGAAATACTATGATTATGCATACATTATTCATTTAGGTATAGAAATTGTGGTTGTGGTTTTGTACTCTTGTTGCATTCTGCACATATCTTTATAACTTTTTATTGTCTAGGCATTCCTGATTACAGATGAAAAAAATTCTGGAAATGGTGAAGCTATGAAAGATCACCACCACCTTGAAAAAAGCCCTTGAAATTTGAGTGCGGAAATAGAAACAGAAAATGTGTCTTGTATAAGACAGCTTCCTCATGAAATTATTTTGTTTATAGAATAAAAAAAAGCTAATGTAGGCAACATTGCAAATTTACTATTGAAGTCACACTTGAATGTTTTAAATTTGTTTTAGAAATGAAGCTACTAGTCACTAAAATCTAAGTAATCTGGCATCTCTTGAGTTGTTGCTAGTTTATGAGAAATAGGGAGTCAAAAGGTTAAAATGGAAAACAAGAAACAATCACCAATGTATTTTTATATAGTTTGAGCCTATTATCCTCTGTAGTGTCAAGGAGACATACAAAGTGCTTGTTTTCAGAAGAGCTGAGAGACAAGAAGGTCTTTGTGGTGGGGAACCATAGGACCCATTTAATACTGATTGCATTTCATAAAAATGTGCTAATGCTATCACCAGTTTGTGCTTATTCTAATCACTCTTATAATTTACCTAGGCTTATAAAAACTGAAGTATTATTATTTTTGGTTTGGTGTATTTCTAAACACAGATAAGTATTTTTAATATGTTGCAGAATGTAGAGGAATCCGAAATAGGTGAGAAACAATAAGGATTGAAGGATGTGTTTTACAAAATGCTTCCCTGCCCTCGCCCCCCATGCAGGAGGGATATGTTTGGCAAGTTTGTAAGTGGTGCTTTTCACACTTGTGTTTTAAAGCCCCAGCTAAGAACTACAGATGTTGTGGAATAATCACAGATGAGTCCTGGACATTCGGGTGGTCCCAGTTTGTGGCAAACATTCCAGACCTTTTCTGTCTTTCATAACACAAAAGCACATTGATGGTTCATGGTGGAGCCCAGATTTCTTCTTGCTACTTTCATTTCCTAAAAATAAATCTGTACAAGCCATGAACTACTCTGCAGATGTGCTTGGGGTTCATCTGCATCAGCCCCTCTTGGACTCTTGGAAAGGCATACATATTTTTCTGTGTTGTGATGCCTGCCTAGCCTTTGTCTTCAACACAAGTATGCCAATTTACACTGGGAAGGGAAAATTACCTGTTCACTCTATATATCTAGCCTTAGTCCATAGCATCCTGTTTCTGGATGCTCGGAGAGAATTTAAAAAAATCTGTTGTAGTGGCTACACTGGGCAGTATTTACTGAACCTTGCACCTTAAAGACTAGTATGTTTCATTTGGGCTAAGGTTTAAAGGACTACAACTCACTTTATCAGATAGTTAATGAACGTGCAAGACAAATAAAACTTCTTTGCTTTTAAGGTGTCTCAAGACTGTACTATTTTACTGCTCCTCCTCCTCTGAAATCTCTAGGAAACCTCAAAGACCTTCATCCCAATAGGGAACTGTACCATGATTCTAATAGGAATGAGATTGGTAGGGCTTGCTAAACAGCATGAATGCATGTGATTCAGTTCCAGTATTTCCTAGCAGAAGGCAAAATGACCTGACCTTTTGCTATAGCCCTTGATCCCCACAGTCTTATTAATGGATCACATCGAACAGTTAGGTTAAGCTTGCTAGCAATGTTGCAGTTTTGAAAGAAGTCATTCATTTTGTGTTTCTTTAAAAGGTAACCTAAAAGTTATTTCTGTCTTCCTGTCATTCACAGTGCAAATTTTAGACATTAGCTATTGTATTTTACTGCTTTAAGCCTTTGTTTATTTTATTGGAGTGACAAATTTTTATGCATGTGAAAAATAAAGTGATAAGTGATTGATCAAATAAAACAAAGAGTGTTCTCTTGAAAATAGAATTCTGTCTGAGACATAATTAATCTGTGAATATATAAGTAGGGGGTTGATTACAAAGTAATTAAAAGATCACCTTTACTTTCCTCTTCCCAGCTGCTGCCTATCTATTTCTGTCTCTCCAGGTTTTCCCTTGTTTACAATTCTCTTTTGCTAAACTAACTTATTCTAACCATTTGTTGTTGTCTTTGGAAAGCAGCATAATTGCCCCCCTCTTAATCATAGGCCTTAGTGTTGATTATAGATAACATAGTAAAGAATTAACATTTTACATTTATTAGCTGTTACACAAAGCTAGGAAGTTTCTCTTTGGCCCTCCAACCGTGGTACTTCCTGTTAGACCTGTTATGATGTTTCCAGTTCTGCTAGTTTATATCAGAAGGCCCAAAACACAAGTTTATTACCCAGCCATCTCCCCTGTTCTTGGCTAGGTGGTTGATTCTGCCCCCGGTGCCATAAGCAATGATGAGATAGTGTGGGCCTGGGCCCACAGCACTGAGACTGTTCTTGAGGTGTCCAGATCCCTTGGTCCCTTCTTTTTTTTTTCAGCCAAAAGTTTAGAACTACTGCTCATGGAAGCCTTTAGGAATAGTCACGTTTTAAATATATTTGACCACCACCCCACATTGTTCAATATGAAAAATACATTTTTCCCAAAATGAGAAGTAGATCTGTAGCTGTCTTTTTGTTTTATGTGGGGGGGCATTTTTTAAAATCTCTGTGGCTCATGGGGGTGGGTGTCTCAGGACAGAAATTTGAAGAAGCATCTTCCACATTACTGCTGTGGACATATGCCATTGCTGTTACCTTGTGAGAGCACACCTTTTCAATGAGTGCTGTAATATTTAAAGAATATCACAGTTCCTTTTCCTTCATGATGTTCATTTTGACTGGTAAGAGTTTGAGACTTGCACACATATGTGTAGTTCATAGAATCATAGAAAAGTGAAGTTGGAAGGGGCCTACAAGGCCATCAAGTCCAACCCCCCTGCTCAACACAGGAATACAATCAAAGCATATCTGCCAGGTGATGATCTCAGTTGTTCTTGAATGCCTCCAGTGTTGGAGCACTCACCAACTCCTGAGGTAACTGGGTCCACTGTTGTACTGCACTAACAGTTATGAAATTTTTCCTAATATTCAACCAAAATCTGGTTTCTTTTAATTTGAGCCCATTGTTGTGTGTCCTGCACTCTGGGATGATCAAGAACAGACCTTGCTCCTCCTCTGTATGACAGCCTTTCAAATATTTGAAAAATGCTTATCATATCACCCCTCAGTCTTTTTTTCTCAAGGCTAAACATGCCCAATTCTTTCAGACTTTCCTCCTAAGGCTTGGTTTCCAGCCCCCTGATCATCCTTGCCTGCATGATCAGTTTCTGTGTACTGGTTCTTTAGTGAACCCACAATTTTGAATATGTCCTAATGTAGAGGTTGTTGTTATTTTACTAGATGTGGAGTGATGCAGTAGCCTTGTGGTTTCACTTTTGGACGTGGTCATGTGCTTTTACAAAATGGATCATTTTGTCAGCTAAAGGTATTGTAAACTGATTCTTGGTTTGTTTTATAATTAAAACATCTTCTTCAACCATTGCAGAAATATGAGGAAATGGCAGAAAAAAACAAAGAGAAATTTGCTGCTGCTGCAAAGATACAGGAGCAATTACTCCTTGAAAATTCAAACTTCAAAAGCATGTGGGCGCAGACTCAAAAGGAACATACGTCACTGCTGGCTGCCTGTGCACTTTTATCTGGTGCTTTGTATCCTCTGTATAGTCGAGCATGTGCTCTGTCCATGCAAAGGGACTTCCTTCAAGATCAGGTCAACACTTGTGACATTTTCAAACAGGAAATTCAGACTTTGGCTAATGCACTCTCTGAAACAGAAGAATGGAAACAAAGCGATGGCAAGATGATGAAGAAAAAGCATGACAAAGGCTTGATACGTGTCTTCCGCAAAGGCGTCATTGCAGTGCTGGCAGCCAACAGACTTCAGATTTTGGGCCAGTCGTGTAGTGCCCTCTTCTCGTGGGTGGACAGCTTCAGAGAAGGCATCGGAATCTTAGTCTGCATAGGAGACTCTAAGGATGTACATCACCTGTCAAGTAAGATCATTAGCTCATGATTTATGCGATCCGTGTCAAACTGCACTTTCTGTACTTAAATAACAATTATATAATGCCAATAAGCCAAATTTAATCAATTAATTAAAAGTACTCAAAGCCCTCAGTGGTGATGATAAAAATTCACAGGATCACCCATTATGTGTATTAGGAAGGCAAAGTCCAACGTGGCTTTAATAGTGTATAGGAAGTGCAGAGTATGCTGGGCATGTCTTGCCATTACCAATGTGAATTCACCGTTGCCCTTCCATGTTTTGCTTTAACTGTGATACAGCATTCTGTCTGTATCAGCATTAACTATGGCTAACACAATTAAATTATCTCAGGCCCAGGGCTTTCAAACTAACTTACAACTCTTGCTGTAAGAACAATCTGCAGGTGTACTAGTCATGACAGGTATTCCTTCACACCATGGATAAAAGAAAACATTATGAGAGGGGGGAGGCGTTTACAAACCTGCTGCACACACTGTCGGTTTTCTTAGTCATGGCTAGGTGAGCAGGCGTTCTGTGTCTGTACCGTTTTTTTCCTGTTGTTCTGTAGAGCCCTGAGTCAATGGTAGCAAATGTTTTGCTTTTGTATCACTTGTGCCCCAATCAGCTGAAGTATTGAAGCTGATGTGATTTATTAGCATGCTATTTCATATGATGACAACATGTGTAGCTAGCACCTTAGCCACATTCATGTAAGGGAATAGCTATTTTTTGTGATGGGATGAATTTTTAAATATTTTTATTGATAATATTTACAAAAACAAACAGAAAAGTGCACAACTATTGAGAAGACAATACAGTAGAACTGTTACGTTGCTCTGTGCCAATGAAGTTGGAAACAACTTATAGCAACCCTAATAAAACTTTCAAAGTAGGTAGAATATTTAATGAGTGGTTTTACTGGCTCCATTCACCCAATGAGTTTCCATGGCAGAGTAGGGAATTGAGCCCAGATTTCCAGAGTCTTGTTTATCTCTCTATTCACCACACTGAGTACTGGACAGTAAAACTAGAAACATAACATTATCAATTACCTAAAAAGAGAGAGGGAGGAAAAAAGAAGAGGGAGAAGAGGAAAATAAAATTGCAAATAAACTTCTGTAAAACTCTTCTAGATATCTAATAATGTATCCATATTAGGGATGGGGACATTTGTATTCATATACGGATACAACTATCCCCATCGCAGCTGGCCCTAATGAGGGTCTGGCCCCCAGGACCGGACTGTGCTCTCACATATCCTGTAGTGGTGCCGGCCCCGCCAATGGCACCTGGAACTCTACTCCCTTCCTGCTTGGCTGGCCACTCACTCAGCAGCTGTGCAGGGAGACTTGTCCTCCCACCCCCTGCCTGGAGTGGCCAGCTGAGCAGGAAGAGAGCAGAGTTCCAGGTGCCATTGTCTGGATGAGCAGGACTGGCGCCATGGCAAGACATGGATAGTGGATAGTCCAGTCCTAAGGGCTGGACCTTCATTAGGGCCAGCTGCGATGGGAATATTTATATTTATATACGAATATCCCCATCTGTAACCCATATATAATTGTTGCGTATAAGCCACCCATTCGTATTCTGATAACATTGTAAGATTTTCTGTTCATTTAGTTACTGGGGGTGGGTATTTCTGGGGAGGCTGAATATATGCATGTACAGTGTGATAACTAGTCAAACATCCACTTTTAGGAACATGGTATCTTGGTGGCTACATCTCTGTTGCCCATCTTACTCAGTCTTCTCAGACCATATGCCTGCAGGTACTGACACCAAGAGAAACCTGTAAAACGAGGAACTGGGCTTTTTTGATAATGCCTCCCTCCATCCGGAATGCCCTCCCTCAGGAGATATGCCAGGCCCCCTCCTTTTGGAATGTTAAGAAGCCCCTGAAGACGGAGTTTTTCAGGGAACCTTCTGAGGAGGCCTTCCTAAATTAAAGGAGAGGAGACAATAAAAACTTAAGGAACACCTTAATTTTATTGTTAATTTTACTATTGCTTATCCTGCTGCATTGAAGGTATTATTTAGTTACTGTATATTGCTTATTCTTTTTTTTATTTTATTTTATTTATATCCCGCCTATCTGGTCGTATCAGGACCACTCTTTATTATGTGTATTATATGACTTTTGTTATTATATATTATTTTCTGTTTATTGCATTATAAACTGCCCAGAGTAGTGGTTTCCACTAGATGGGTGGTGTAAAAACCTAATAAGTGAATAAATACCAATTCTTGTTAACAAGGTAGAAGAAAATGTCTATCCTAGAACAGTCATTTCAGACAGAGCTTTATTGTGATCACAAATGCTGATGCCCCAGTGCAGACACTCACTTATTTTATTAAAAGTATTTATTTGATACTTTCCCCCCACTAAGAGTCTAAAGTGATGACTTAAATTCTCCCAACCACTCTTGGATTGATAACCTAATGATTACCACCTTAACTAATGATGACTTGTGGCCTAGAAGAAATATTTTAAAAAGTATTTTCCACATATTTCACCTCTATTTCAAAAATATTCTGAAGTTTCGATTAATATTATATTCAAGCATGTTGTGCGAAAAACAAACATCATTACCTAATAATATTGACAATACACCAAGGAGAGGTTTTAAAGCAAGTAGATCCATGTTTTTAAAAGCAGGTCTGGATTGCTTATTCCAGTTCAGATGACATTCCAATTGAAAGAGGCTTAAATGTCTCTTGGCATGATCTCTGAATATGTAGACCATGGCTTGCCTTTGGCCAGGGGAACAGAGTCAGAAACTATGGCTCAAAATGGGTAATGTTGAAGAGGACAATTGGATTTTGATGTAATTATGGCTGCTATTGGCTCTAGGGTTAATTGTATAATTGTGACAGGCGTGAATTTAGAATGTGTTTATGAATGACACACAATTCAGGTCTGGTAGGGCTTACGGTTCCAAAATTCTTCTTGCAGAAGTGATGGCAACTTAAAAATAGAGTTTTCCAGCTAAGGAGTTTTAGAGTATCTGTCTGAGAGGCTCATACAAAGGATTTCAGAACACTATTCTTGGCACGTGTACCACCTTGTATATGTAAAGGCAGAGTACAAGGGGGTGCTGATACCTATTGAGCCTTTCCCCGAAAAAAATTGAGCTAGGAAGCTGTAACTGCCACACTATTCTACATATTCCCCCAGGAAGTCAGTGCACTTGCGACATCTGTCCTGCAGCTTCTTAAGTCCCTGCAAATAAAATTCTTCCGACTGCTGGTGTAACCACTCATTTTCAGCATTAGTTGCCTCCAGAATACTCCCAAATCGTTGTCCCTTTAGGTGTTTTGTGAGTTTGGTGATCAGATAATAGTCAGAAGGAGCCAGGTTGGGAGAATAGGGTGATGGGGCATCACTTGAAAGCCTAAGGAGGTCAGTTTTGCCATTGTTTCACCTGCAGTGTGTGACAAGGCCTTGTCATGCAACAGGATGACGCCTTTGGAGAGCTTTCCTCGAGGTTTTTCCTTGATGTTTTGCCTCAACTTTGTCAATAAAGCACAGTAATATTTTGCTTTGATGGTTGAACCCCGTTGGAGGTTGTCCACCAGTAGAACTCCCTTCTTATCCAAAAAAACTGTTGCCATTTGCTTCTGCACCAGCCTTTGCACTCAAAACTTCTTTGGCCTGAGGGAACCACTGTGCCTCCATTCCTTAGACTGTTCCTTTGTCTCAGGATCATAACAGTAAAGCCATGTCTCATCAACAGTTACCAGTTTGCCCAGGAAATCTGACTCATTTCTTGCAAAATGTTCCAAAAGAGCCACCGATGTCGCCACATGTTTCCTCTTTTGTCCGGTTGTCAAAAGTTTGGGGATCCACTTTGCTGCCAGCTTTCTCATTTCCAAGTCGTTGTGGATAATGGCACCAACTCTCTCGCATGATATTCTCAGATATATAGCAATACTTTTGGCTGATATTCGGCGCTCCTCCATGATCATGTCATGGATGGCTTTCACATTTGCAGGCACAGAGACAGATCAACACCAAAATGGCCAGTTTTAAAATTGACAACCCAGCGCTTATCTGTTGCATATGAAGGGCCACTGTCACCCATAGTTTGTGACATTTCATCATGGATCTGCTTTGGACCTTTCCCTTGGAGAAACAGGAACGTGATTATAGTCCTATGCTCTTCCACATTGAACATTTCTGGAGGTGCTGCCATGCTCACTTTGGACCGGAACATGAAAGATAAGTTAAAATCATAGGTAGTTGATTTTTGCACCATTGAATACAGATAAATTGGCCGATACACCCTTCAATTTATAGCTTCCTAGCTCATTTTTTTTTCTGGGAAAGTCTCAATACTTATCAGCACCCCCTCTTAGAATGTCCCTGAAAAATGCAGAGATTCTGGTAAGGGCCACGAGGACTACGTTCAGGTTCTGGGTTTGAACACTATTTATTTGTCTTTTTTACTGAGTCCAATAAGAGGACTCTACATTGTTTACAATGTAGTGGGGGCAAGGCTAGTAGAGTGGCTACTTGGAGAAACTGCTTGAGATGCAGATGTGAAAATAAAAGGGAGGCCTATTTTGGAGAAGATAAAAGGGAGGCCTATTGCCTGATATCCAAGACTGCTGGTCTGTAACCCCTTGTGCAAGCCACCTGGTAGAAATGAAAACAAGTTTGGCAGAGAGGCTGAAGGAAAATCAACACCTTTTGCCTTACACCATGTAGTAAATACCCACCAGATTGCCTTATATATCTTGATAGTCATTCTGTACCTGCAAGCCAAGCGAGTAGAGATTACATTCTCAGAATACCCCATGGATCTTACAGTGTTGCACTTAGCATCAAGTGTTAGATGGAACTAGGCAGGGTCCTGGTATCAACAGGTCCTTCCAGGATGGAAAGAGCCCAGGTGGAGAAGTGATACATCTCTGAATTTCTGAAAACCACAGCCTCCTTGGCCAGAATTGAGCCACCAAAAACGTTTATGCTTTTTCCAACCTGACTTTGCTGAAGACTCTTGTCAG